GCGCCCTACTCACTGAGCCACAGGTGCCGCCCAAGACATGTTCTTAACAGAATTTAACTGGAACTCAAGGAAAGGAGGACAGTAGTCTTAATATTTCTGGGAAATTATTCTGAGAAGCTTAAAAAGAGACATCGGACTATTAGTAGTTGTTCTTTTAGGGTGATGGTCAGAATGATTCTTTTAAGAAAGACCTCATGTAGACTCTTATTTATGGGGTCTGGTTACAGTTGGCCTCAAATTTCTCTTATTCCTGTTGATATGCCTCATTAATTTTAGTGGGAAAACTGAGTATCAGACCACAAAAACCAATAAAGCAAGAAGATCAACATCCTTTGAAAGAAGGCCCAGCAAACGATATTCTCGTCGAACTCTACAAATGAAAGGTGAAGTGCAACCCTGTTTCAAAGGACTATTCTTCCTTGACAAGTAATTATATGCTGGGGTTGTTTACTTGACAGGAAGTTACTTGAATCTCCTTAGTCTCTTCCAACCAACTAACGTACTTTTCTGGCAGAATCAATTTCATAAGAGACACAGAAAAAATTGCCTTTGGTGTTTGTTGACATTAAATTTTGTTAATCCTGTGTCTGATGGTACTTTGAGATTGTGTTTATTTTTTTTCTTTTTTTAGTGAATACCTATAGTTTACAAATAAATTATTTTTTTGTAATTGAGACAGAGTCTCACTTTGTTGCCCAGTGTAGGGTGCTATGTTATCATAGCTCACAGCAACCTCAAACTCTTGGGCTCAAGTGATTCTTTTGCCTTAGCCTCCCAAGTCCCTGAGCTGGGACTCCAGGGGCCTGCTACAACACCCAGTTTGTTGTTGTTGTTTAACAGGTGCTGGCTGGGTTTGAACCCACGAGCCCTGGTGCATATGGCTGGTGCCCTAATCACTGAGCTACAGTTGCCCCAGTTTACAAATAATTTTTTTTTTTTTTTGAGACAGAGCCTCAAGCTGTAACATCACAGCTCACAGCAACCTCTAACTCCTGGGCTCAAGTGAGTATCCTGCCTCCGCCTCCCAAGTAGCTGGGACTACAGGCACCTGCCACAATGCCTGGCCATTTTTTTTTTTTTTGGTTGCAGCCATCATCGTTGTTTGGTGGTCCCAGGCTGGATTCGAACCCACCAGCTCAGGTGTATTTGGCTGGCTCCTTAGCCATTTGAACCACAGGCACCGAGCCCAATAATTTTTTTTTTAACAAAGTGTTTTTTCTTTTCTTTTTTTAAATTTTTGTTTGTTTATTTTTTGGCCAGGGCTGGGTTTGAACCTGCCACTTCTGACATATGGGGCTGGCGCCCTACCCTTTTAAGCCACAGGCGCTGCCCCTACAGATAAATTTTAAGTAAAAAATTATTTTCTATTGTATTACAATACTAAGAATACTGTTAAATAGTTTTTAAACTTAACATATCGTGTGTGCATGTGTGTGTGTGTGTGTGTGTAGATATTTCCAAATTCATGTTAATTGCTGTTTAAGATCAATTATATAAGAAAAAGCATTGTTTACTTTGCTAAATAACACTTGTTTGATTTCAAATCTGATTTTTTGTTAAAATAGAAATTGAATTTTAAGTATTTCCAGTGTCAGAGTCATCATCAGTAGTTGTCCAACAACTACCTTGATGTTTGGCAATATTGATTTTTTTAGAAAACTAATTCATAATCATAATTTTTGGTATGGCTACAAATTAAATAATAGCTATAAATGAAACCGTTTTAATTTCTGAAGATTTGAAACCTTAAGTTATCTCTTGTTTTTCATAGAGGATGATGCAAAATCAAGTATTTCACTCTGGAGGCTTATGGATGGCATTGTTTTAAAGGAAGAGATACATATGTATTTTATTGCTTAATTTGAAAAAATTGCCATTATTGTTTTTAATGGTGTAAATCTCAGAACACTTCTGTGAGATCAAGCTTTTAAATCTATGGTTAGGAAACATGGCTCATGATACAATTAGCTAAGGTTTTACTTTGATGAATAGTGAAGCAATTTATCATGTAAGGTGAGCTTAATACGGTATTATCTTTTCTTTTGTCAGCAAGTACATGTACAGCAAAACCTGAAGAACTCGGGTGAGTAAAGTCTGAGAACTTACGAATTTATTAGTACATAGAATGTTACATTGAATATTTTAGAATTTATGTAGTTGCTATCATTAGTTAAATATTTGCTGAACACCTACCAAAGTGTCAAATTGTCCATAGGCATTGGGGATATAGTAGGGTACAAATAAACATACAGTATCAGATAAAATTAACATGAAGAAAAAAATAAAACATTTTAAAGAAACAGAATATAATGGGAGTGGATGTGTTCTTCATAATGAGAATGACATACATTTGTTATTGACAAGTGACTGATGGTATAAAGACGGATAAATTATGGTCAATACAAGCAAGAAGTTCAAAGAACAAAGGTTGATGCAAATAAACAATTTTATTTTTCTGGTTTTTTTTTTTTTTTTTTTTTGGAGGCAGAGTCTCATTATATCATCCTCGGTAGAGTGCTGTGGCGTCACAGCTCACAGTAACCTCAAACTCTTGGGCTCAAGCAATTCTCTTGCCTCTGCCTCTCAAGTAGCTGGGACTACAGGTGCCCGCCACAATGTCTGGCTATTTTTTTGTTGCAGTTGTCATTGTTATTTAGCAGGCCTGTGCCAGGTTCAACCTACCAGCCCTGGTGCATGTGGCCAGTGCCCTAACCACTGAGCTATGGGTGCCAAGGCAAGAAAACAATTTTATTCCTGTGATAAATCCCAGTTGGTTATGTTATATAATCCTTTATGTTATATGTTGCTAAATTTGGTTTGCCTAGTATTTTTTGTGGATTTATATATCTATGTTTAGAGATAACTGATCTATAGGTTTTGTTTTTTTTTTTTTAATTTCAGGTTAATGTGAGGGTACAAACAATCATATCACAATATTTGAATTTGTTAGGTAGAGTCTCTTGTAGTTGTGTCCCACACCCCAAGTGTGCTGTACACCCCTACACTGTGCCCATTAAGTGGGAGCACCACAACCCCCTCTTCTCTGTCCCCTCCCTCATTAGTGTTTTCTTAGAATGTCTTCATCTGGATGATACTGGCTTCACAGAATGAGTTGGTAAATGTTCCATTCTGTTTTGTTTTGGGGAATGTATGGTAGAATTTATCATTAAAGCCATCTGGACTGGATTTTCTCTTTGTGTAAACTTTAAAAATTCTGTCTTTCTAGAATTTGTCTATTTCGTCTGTTACCTAATTTGTTGGCATACATAGTTCATACTATTCCCTTTTCTTTTTTGTTTATTTTGTAAAGTCAGTGGTGATGTCCTCTCATTCTTTTCTTTGTTTTTTTTTAAGATTTGAATTTGGTGGCCTTTGGGGCTTTTTTCTTGGTTGGTTTAGCCAAAAGTATATCAATTTTGTTTCAAATAGAACCATCTTTTAATTTTCATCAGTTTTTCTATTTTTCTGTGTCATTAATTTTTGCCCGAATCTTGATTCTTCCTTCCACTTGATTTATGTTTAATTTCCCTTTTTTTTAGCAGCTTAGGTGAAAGAATAGGTTATTTGAGTTCTTCATTCTTTTTTAAATAACATTTACAGCAATAAATTGTCTCTCAAGCTCTGCTTTAATTACATTCAATAATTGCAGTACCAATTGTTTTTACTTCTTGTTCATCCCAAATTATTCTTTAATTTCACTTGTGATTTTGTCTTTGACTTCTTATTTACTTAAGGATGCATTGTTAAATTTCTACATATTTATAAATATCTTAAATATTCTTTTGTTTTTTATAATTTTCCATGGTGGTTAAAGAATCATACTTTGTATGATTTCAGTCCCTTTAAATTTGGGGCTTGTTTTATGGTGCCATATGCTATGATGCATTCTAGAAAATGGTACATGTATATTTAATAAAATGTATTCTGTTTTTGAGTGGAATGTTCTGCAGATGTCTGTTGCTTAGTTTTATCCATTACTGAGAGTGAGGTATTGAAAGCTGGAACTATTGTTGCTTATTTATATATTCCTTCATTGCTCTTAATTTTTGTTTCATACATGTTGGGGATTGTTTGTTGTTAGGTACATATATGTTTATAATTATATTATCATGATAGACCGTTCCTTTTATTATAAAATAATTCTCTTTAGTAATCTTTTGGTTTATTTTAAAGTCTATTTTGTCTGATATAAGTATTGCCAATCCAGTTTTCTTACAGTTGCTTTTTTATGGGATAATTTTGTCATTAAATTTGGTAAGTTTTTGCCTGTTTTTTCTTCAGATATTCTTTGTTCTTTTTCTCTTCTTC